CCGTGTGATGAGGAAGATTAAGCTTATGAATTCAAATATTACAAGGTTCTCCCAAGAGATAGTTTCTGCTCAGGGGCATTATGAACAGAAGGAAGGAATGCGTATTCAATATCAACAACAACAAATAAAATAGCCAGGAAAGACTGAAAAGGAGTAACTAGTAAGACAAATCATTGCATTTTTTCGGGGTAGGGTTTCAAGTAAAACGGGGGAAACAGAGCATCTGTCAAAGTCTGCACACCATGCACTTTAGAAATTGAAAATATAAGTAGTAATAATTGTAACTAAATAGCTAATATATGTCTATCCAAGTACATGTCACATCTACTGGAAGCAGACCACCACACCCCTACTGAGACGCTGGGTGGAAGAAGTGGAAGCAATGCGGAAATTCGAAGACGTGAAAGCGAACACCCCGAGGCAAAGGGACCGCTATACAAGGCTGGTTTCACTGGCTACACCACACCACATCAGACTCCTTCCAACGCCGCCTCACACCAGAACCTCCGCGAGACGAACGAGTGAGAGAATGACAGACCCAGGCGGGGGTTCGGGAGACCGCAGTGCTGGGCGGACCGAGGCGGCGACGCGAGACAAGATAACTAACCACCAACCCTCAACCCCCTCACCCACCCCCCCAGGACCCTTCCACACACACACACACACACACACACAAACACACGACAACATACACAAGAGAAGACCACAATTCCGGACAAAGAGAAGAAGACGACGCATAACACAACTGCAATCCCCCACTAAGACGATACCCACACGAAACAACACACCCCACACAACACAGACACCAGAGAACAATCAGAGAGACTAAAGCAGACGAGTACGGACCAAACAAGACACGACGGTGCAACACAAACAACCCCCCAAACATCAAACACAACCACATGGGGTATGAGCCACTACAACGCGCCCCTCCAAAAAAAAACAACCAAAACAGACACACTAACACAACTGTCAAATACATAGAACAAACGCAAGACCGAAGTAATGGAAACACTCCAACCCGAGGAGCTACACAGCGACAACTCGAGGATGCGAAACCACTTGACACATCAGGAACCGTGCCATCCACGCGAACCCCACAAAAACCACGACAAAAAGCGATACAATAAGACAAGACGAGAGGGACCATTGCGGGGTAGGCGGGAAAAACGCCAAATAAGTGACACCAACCCAGACGCTCAATGCACTACAAGCGCTCACACCACACCTCCACACAAAGATCAACCACACACAGGCTTAAGAATGATCCAAACGCAATCAACATGGGCAGACCCCCCTCATAGATACGCCAAGAAGCGCTACCACACACGATGAGACCCAAAACATGCACCAGAATACGCACCACAACCAACGAACACACGCACACAGGCAAAACCACACACAACACACTATATATATCAGATGATAAAGCCGCAAAGGATATGATCAAACCGCCTCTGCGCAGGCAACTAAATGTTACGATTGATGCAATGAGAAATACGCCTCTGCGAAGACGACTAAACGTTACAGTAAAGTACAATTGTAAACCAAGCCTCTGACATGACACCAATAAAGATATTTAAAACAAGTACGTCACAAACATTTTAAAACACAAATTAGTGTTTACATATTGTGTAAAGGTTTTTCACACCCACCCCACTCTGAAATTAGATTATTTTAAAAGTAAATGAGTAAAGCAATGAATCCCAAACCACAGTGACATGACTGACTCATATGTTATATCTGAGAAAGATGTGTGTATTTCCTTGGAAAAAAAAATGTACACAATTTTAAATAGTTAAACACGTGTGTGTCGTTACACTGACTTGTTACGTGACCTCTAAATGAAGACAACTGTGTGTTAAGTTTAAACTTTTTTTTTATTGAGGATTCGAATGATATATCTGAAGTACAAGAGATGCAAGTTACTGGGCAAGATTGAAAAGAGGAGTTTTCGAAAGTACAATTAGTAACAAGTATATTTATGTAATATTCAACATTAGAATTATTTGTTTCCTTAATGAGTGCAAACATCACAAAATATTCTTTAAATTAGTGAATGAACAGCTGTAGATCTATTCAAAAGTTCTTGAAGTGAAATTGGCATATCATGGATAATTAACAAGGCATCACTGTATAGAAAAAGTTTAACATGACAGCAAACTTATAGTAAAAAAAAAAAAAAAAATTCTTCCCTATCTAGACATCCCCGCTACAGGTAAACATTACAAATATAGCTGTAACTAGCCAACTGTCCCCTAAGGACTGCACACAAGGTGTTTTGAAATATGTTGCATTACATCAGGGGTGGAGTGACTGCATGTGCAGCCAATCCAACTCATCGCACCGGGTAAGACTTAAGCACTTTTTTATGAAGGATACCTTTTAATCTGGACATATGGTGGTGACTTTGAAAATACAGGATCAGTGCAACCTGTAACAATTCTAACACAGAGCAATTTAACAGATGCTGAGTGCTACAGGATAATTACAATGTATTTGAAGTAAGCTTGTAGTAAAAAATAAACTTACCTTAAATGCTCCCATATACATTGTATACAACATATATCACCAAGATATGTTCAATATAAAATATAGAGACGTATTCACCTTTCCTCCGTTCTAATGGCACTTTGTGGGTGTTACTCTTCATGAAACAATGCATCTCTATGCAGAACGTTCAGCGCCTCCATGCAGAACATGAAGACGCTGTACGCCAGTGCGGCACTAGCACAGGAAGCAACGCTAGTGACTGCCACTAGGTGTTACTAGGCACTAATGTAAGCACTGCCTTGTCTCTGAAAAGACTACATTAAGCTGTTCTGGTGACTATAGTGTCTCTCTAAAACTCACTGATTTCAATCAGATGGTTTCATGGTGGAGATCTGCCATGCGTGCGCACTAGCCTCCCAATGCTTTCCTACGGGAAAGCATTGGATTGGCTGAGATCATCAGTCTTGATGACCTCAACCAAAGGAAGGGGACCAGCAGCGGACAGAGCAGCGTTGGAAAATAATTACCATTTTTAATTATTGCAGGGGTGACGTCACCTAAACAGTGACTAAGGCACTATAGTGTTAGTAATACACATTTTTATTCCTAATGCTATAGTGTTCCTCAAACCCTGTAAACATTGCAATACCAAAGAAAAAGAAAACTGTTTTACATTGCAGAGTTAAAAGGACCGAGTCACAGCACCCAGACAACTTCATTTAGATAAACAGATGAATAAGCAAAACTTACATCATATGTCCAAGAGCAATTCTTTTTGAAATTATTTTAAAAACTGAACTTTAGGCAAGTAATATCCACACCTCTCACAAAATGAAAGCTTGGGGTTGATTTTCACCTGCACCCTAATCGGATTGTTAAATAGGTTTTGCAAGGATCTGTGACAAATCATTAAGCTTTAAGTTGCAATGCAAATCTAGTCTTTAGAAAGAGAAGCATGTGCCCTCAGAGTAATGAGCTACTTTTTTTTTATTAAAGGGACACTATAGTCACCTGAACAACTTCAGCTTAATTAGGTTGTTCAAGCGAGAACTATAGCTCCCTGCAGCCTCCCTCATGTAAACACTGTATTTTCTGAGAAAATACAATGTTTACATTGAAAGCTAGGAACACCTCCAGTTGCAGTCACTCAGAATGCCACCAGAGGGACATCCGAGTTGATTGAGGCATAAAACTCCTCAATCCACTCAGATCTGCTGTCAGCAGAGCACAGGGCAGAACTGTGTCTCCTCCCTCTGCATGCAGATACTGAACTTTCCTCATAGAGATTCATTGATTCAATTCATCTCTATGAGGAGATGCTGATTGGCCAGGGCTATGTTTGAATCATGCTGGCTCCGCCCTGATCTGCCTCTTTGTCAGTCTCAGCCAATCCTATGGGGAAGCACGGTGATTGGATCAGGCTACCACATGTCAGCAGACTGCTGGTTTTTCTGAGTAACAGCATGCAGATTTACAGCTTCAGGCTTGAATACAGTAAGATTTTTACTATATTTATGGAGGCATGACGTGCCCAGGGGGGCTAAATGGTGGTGTTAACACTATAGGGTCAGGAATACATGTTTGTGTTCCTGACACTATAGTGATCCTTTAATTCTTTATTTTCAATGACAGAAAGTACATGGTATCAACAGTAGAGCAGCATGTGTAAAAGCCAAAGCGTGGTTCAGACAGATTTGGCTGACATAGATTGTGGCTTACATGCATTCTGTCAAGGTTTTTGACCTTTTGTCTTACAAAGAAAGAACCAATTAACATTTAAGAGTTAGACCCTTGCATCAAAGACCGCCTCGAGCTGTTGGGGTCGTTCATGTGCATCCATGTCGGTGCGCCCCCCCTTTTGGCTCTCAGAACTGAGCAATTCCGTTTCCCCTTCCCCTCGGCTCCCCACCGGTCCAACAGCCAAGGCTTCTTTCTTGGCTCCAGAGGGGCCGTGACCCCGGCCAAGGCTCTTTGGTGGGTCCTCTAGCGGGAGTCGTGCCATGACATAAGCTGCCTTGTGGTTGCCCCTCTTTGGGACTCCAGGTCGCAAGGCCACTTGTTGTTGCTCCCCATGGGCACCCGGTTTAGCCTATATCGCTATGCTCGAGGGGTGTGTTAGAGGAAGCTCCGATACAGGGCGAAGATGAGAGAAGAAAAAGAAAGATGGACAAAGATTGCCACGTCGATGCCCGCCCCCCATATCCCCACTCATACTGAGGTTTCTTTATATTCCAACCAGGGTTCCCATGATTTATAGAAGGTCGGCTCTGTGCGCCTGACCCTTGCCGTTTTGTCGTCTATTTTTGTAACCACATCTCTCAAGGACGGGGCTTAATGAGCTACTTTTTATATTTTATTATGGAGTTATTTTAATACATTGTTCAAAGATTCCATGAAATATTATTACAAATCTGATTAAATTTTGTTAGCATGACATGCTATAGCAATTAGTAATGTACTTCATTATTATTATCATCATTACCATTTATATAGCGCCAACAGATTCCGTATTTTATATAGCACTTCTACGTGACATGGGCAATGGTCCAAAATTTCTGATTCTCACCAAAGCACTCTGAGCTCTTAGTTGCAAGAAACAAACTATAAACTCCAAACTTGGTGTAAGCATACACCTCAAAGACGCAACAGTAGTTCATCTTAGTACTTCGAGGGTAGATGGAGATGTCGGGGGTTAGTGGGGACCAAAGCTGAACAACTGGGGAGATTGCCTGAACATTAACAACTTTGGTTAATATTCTCACCCACCAGTCATGTGCCATTGCCTTTGTGGTGGACGAGGGTTTGACTTTTTAACTGCTGGATATGTAATTGCACTTTACTGAATTGCATATCTTGAAGTGCAAAAAAACCATAATCCAAACATTTACGGAATGCATCAAAACCTTTGATCCATGTCCTCTGGAGACAATCATGCTTGACATTTAAACAATGTTTAAAAGAAAAGGCAGCAGGGGGGACCCAGGTAAGTTGACAACTTAAAATGTTACACTGGGAGGACAGCAGGGTACTCCTGGCACCATAACCACTACAGTATGCTACAATTTTTTACAATTTCTTGGAGTGTTTCATAAAGTTTAGCATCACTCTTCCTAATTCTCATTTGGCCAGAGCTCGCTGCTGAAGCTACTAAGTATGAGAACTTGCAGGAAATGCAGAAACTTCAAAAGTGAAAAAGTAATTTGGATAGCTTTCCCATTGCTACTTTTTAACACAGCTCTCCTTTAACCCCTTAAGGACCAAACTTCTGGAATAAAAGGGAATCATGACATGTCACACGTCATTAAACAGAGGATGAAAATGTTATGGTTATACAAGTCCTTTGGTGATGACTTGATAACGGCTTAGAACAGCTGAAATTTTGCAACTCTCTGTGTAAACCACCTGAATAAAGAAATGAGAGCCCTATTTATTTAAAAAAAAAAAATACCCAACAGAGGCAATCTCTCAACAAAACAAAATATACATATATAACAGAGGCAATGCCCCTTTTCCACTTCCTTATCAAAATGGTTATTAAAGCATGTGTGATGAATCATCATTACAACAGCCCTCATTAATGCAACATGACTCTGCAAACTGTATGGAAATATCAAATCACAATAATATGTCATTTACAGGTTTAAACTTCCCCAAAGCAGGTAAGAAAGGAGAAGAAAGCAAAGCAAAATCTGTGAACTAATCAGTATTTTCCAAGAGGCCGTTACAGTAAAACACCATGCTTTTTATCATAAAACAGTTTCAGTCTTCCTTCCTATGAGATCAGTATTGCATGCAGCTACTTCAGATTACCGAGAAGGTGTTCAATAAAGACTTTCCCCAATGTAGAAATCAGTACTTATATCCTACTTTACTTTCAATCTGAGATTTAGAAGAGTGCTTTAAAGTGGAGAATATTATGCTGTTGAGAATTAAACTGGATGGGAGGGTGGTCAATTTAACTTAAAGCGCTTGCTGTGTGCTTATGTTGCTAGGAATATTCTAGAGCATGGGTGCCCAAAAGCTAGACCTCCAGATGTTTTAAAACTACAACTTCCATGATGCTTTGTATAAAGAGTTGTATTTCTGGAACATCTTGGGATCTATCTTTTGGGCACCCCTGCTCTAGTGCCACTCCACAATAATAGGGTATATGCCAGAGTTCCTAATACCGGATAAACCTGGTTTGTGCCGTAGCTGGATTCCGATACCACTACAACAGCAGAGTGCTCTCACCCAATGAACGAGCACCTTTGCATGGAATATTAGCTAGCCTGGAATTCTTCTTCTGGCTAATGAAGACAGCAATATAAAATATCTAAGGACAGCCTTTCCTAATGGTTGCTGGATAGATGCAGCATGCAAGCAAAATGGTGATGTTACCATGTAGGACATACAAGAGCTGCACAAAGAAAACACATTTTCTGGAACTACCTATTGAAAACAAACTTGACATTTACTTATTTTTCCACTTAACACCTAATTAAATAAAGATATTTAAGTGTTCATCAGCCCTCCAGCTTCACCCTGCAACAATCGCTTGTCAGGAGTTGCATCACTACTACTTGCATACAGAAGAAAACAAAATGGATGTCTATTAAAGATCCTATGAGATTTGTAAAGTTAGCAAAATATTCTTAAGGGGCAAAATGAGACCGCTTTCACCTCTAATATCAGTCGAAAAGTTTAAAACACAAAAAACAACAACAAAAAAAACAATTTACTGGTGCTCATAAAATCTAGATGAATAAATTTGCTTTAGAAAGAAGAGTCAGTATAAGGCACTGTGATGAACATATGTACATAATATATACACACACAATGTATTGCTGACCTTACCGCCACAGACGTAAAATGCATGGTCTACTCTAGAAGAAATGGAGAATCTATCATGTTATGTCCCATAGTGGTTTCTTTTATTCAAACATTAAAAATAAGCAGGTGAAGTATCGGTTCACAATTTAGTAACAGTGGGAATTCCCAACAGAGCGTTTTTTTTCTTCTTTCTTAAATGACAAAGTATTTTTACATTTAAAAAAGAATGTACCGTTACTTTAAAAAATAAAACTATTTTTGTTCTTTAAAGCAACTGAACTCCCGACATCACATCTGTCTTCTCAAAAGAATAATAAAGGCAATCCACAAAGAACATTTAACAACAAATAAACAGAAATTAAATTACACACCCCAAAATGTATGTATGTATGTATGTATGTATGTATGTATGTATGTATATATATATATATATATATATATATATATATATATATATATATATATATATATATATACACACACACACACACACACACACACTAACACTCCTAGCCTCCTGAATGCATCAGCCAATCCCAAGACTCTACATCACTATCAAATATGAGCAGTTTTGGAATCTCTTAAAAAAATAACCATGCGCAGACAATAAGGAAGAAAGATAATATAGGCCACTAATAAACCAGCATAATTAAAATGTCCTATATTTCAAAATATGCTGTAAGCAGGGGCTATATTTAATTAAATGGGAAAATAAAATCTTACAGATTCCATACCAAAAAGACCAATTTAAACCCTCCCATTACCATTATGCAGTTTTGCTGTTCTCTCTGCAACGATCAGGAAGTATAACAAGTGACATGGATGAGCAAATGGTAGGACTACTAGTCTCTAGGCTGGAGGAATATTACAGTCATCCCCAATTCACATTAGTTCAAAGGACAGTCTCAAAGAATATAGAGGATATAACCCTCATTTTATGAGGCAATATTTTTGATCTGTGTGTAAACAGCTACCCTGTCACCTAGTGCAATTTGTAAACTCTCAAAAGTAAATGAAACACAGAATTTCAAAATGTAAGCTTTCCATATGTAACAGTATGAGTTTGCCAAAGAGGGGAGATCAATAATATATAATTTAATTTTTTTATTTAACTAAAACCAAAAATATAAACAAAACAAATGCATACTAAGACGTCATATAAAAAGTTTGCAATGATGACTAAACAATTACAAGAATACAGAGAAACTGTAAAATTGACTCTTATTTGCCGCTGATATTAATAACATAACTTGATGACATTAAGAAGACGTGGTCAGACAGCAGGTGTAGTGTGTTGTATCATGCAGTAAAGATAAATACTATGTCCTCACACACCCTTCAACTTTAAAACTGTCTCTGTTTCACATTAAGGGACACTATAACTACCAAAACAACTACAGCTTAGTTGTTCTGGTAAATATAATAATCATTATATATGCAGGCATTTCCATGCAAACAGTGTCTTTTCAGAGAAAAGGCAGTGTTTACAACCCCCCTAGGGACACCTCCAAGTGGTCACTGGTCAGATGGCCACTGGAGGTGCTTCCTAGGGCAGTGTTGCACACTACTTTTTCTCATAGAGATGCACTGGTTTAAAGCATGTGGCTCCGCCCCAACGCCGATTTTAGCCAAACGGTTTCCCATAGGGAATCAGCAATTCTGATGATGTGACCAAGGAGGCGGATAGGGGCGTGGCAAGCGCCAGCAGACCCACGCAGGCGTTTTAATTTTCTTTAAGGGGCTATGGTGGGGAGGGAAGGGGGAGAGGGCAAGCCATCTAAATGGTGGGTAACATTTGTGTTCCTGACCCTATAGTATTCCTTTAGTAAAATAGAAGGAAAAATAGAAAACAGTGTAAAAAAAAATAGAATATATATATATGTATGTGTGTCTATATACAATTACACACAGATTTAGAGATGTATATAAACATACATGTACATTTTTTTATTTTTTTTTAACAGCATGTTCTGAGCAAAGAAAACAAGACAAAACACATACATTTCAAACACTGAGTCCACATTGATACCAATCCATGCAGCAACACACAGAAGCCATGGCGACTACCTGGTACATCTGTGAAACGTCAATCAGAAATCAAGAGCATGAATCATGTCTGGTGCACAATCCCAATAATCTTAACACTATAAAAGGCACACACAATATCATATAGTACATAACTCTTAAAATAAATGAACCTCAAAAGTGTCAGCGTGTAATAGTATTTGGTTTCAGCATCAGCTGGAGTTAGAGCGATTGTGCTATGGTAATTTAAAGGAAAAGTCCAAACTACCAAAGTGCTTAAAGGGTTAACAGCGCCCCCTCTTTCTTACTGTAAAGAATAATCAGCACGTTTATAGAGTTCCCAAGCTACATCCTCCAGCCTCACAATGGTTTTCTATGAGATTAATTGAATTGGCTGGGATACGATCACTGGAATTTACACTATTAAATATTACAACACTCACCAACACATGAAAGATTAGAAATGTTATAGGTGAATTTCAGTTTTCTTTTAAATTAATTTTGTAAATATTTAGACAGACAATGACCTCATAATCCAATTCAGTCCAGGTACAACCGGGCGACGCAATGCAAATGAGGATAATTAATTTCTTATATTTCTCTATGTTTACTGCCTATTGCAAATGACAGAGGTATCCATTTCTACATTTAATTTTATTGTCCACAACTCAGATACATACATATAGGGGATACATAAACAGAACATAAAATATCCCAAGAAGAGACAGTACCGCTTCAATGAAGTGACACCATGTATGTCATGAGTCTTGCCACAAAAGGGTTTTTAAATATACACGCAGCACAGTAAAGTTCAGAGACATTTTGAAGACAATTATCTATGTACATACATTCACATGATGTACGCGTTTTGAATTACCCACACTGTGTATGACGTTCA